TGGCGTCGACAAACCCTAAATGATAAAACCTTGACTTTTAGGGTGCCTCGGTGTCGATAAGAACCTAAATGATGAAAGCTTAGGCTTTTAGGGTGCCTCGGCGTCGACAAACCCTAAATGATAAAAGCTTAGCTTTTAGGATGCCTCGGTGTCGACAAACCCTAAATGATGTAGTTTTGAGTTATGAACGTAGGATATGTCGTCATCGTCATCGGACGACGAAAGTCTCCCGGGGGAGTGCGACTAGTGCCACGACGATCGAGGTCTGTGCGACATGCCTCACCTGGACGATGATCGGCGCTTCAGCATTAAGCTCGAGGAGGCCTTCGAAGTTGAAACGGTACACAACGACGACAAGTGTTATTTTCATAATTAAGCATGACTTCAACTATTTCAACGTGTAATTTTTCATCTTTTACAATTCGAGTATAGCTTATCCCATGCCATGCAAGACGCTATGTCTTGGAGAGGATGGATTTTGAAGACCATGAAATTTCTGAAACAAAGAAAATTCACCTAAGGACTCATCATGATGTGGACTTTGAAGTAAATCTGTATAATTCTGAGAGCGTAACCCATTTTGGTTGCAAAAATTGGGAAGCATTTTGCAAGATGTATGGTTTTGATGAGGGTATGCTTATCACCATGGATCTTGGTAATCCTGACATCGACCAAGACAATATGGACATTTGGGTCCTTGTTGATACGCCTCCAGTTCTATCGCTATGTGAGTTTTTCAAACATAGTTATTAGCTAATTTATATTGTTTATTTCAAAATAGTTGACAGCTTATTTCCATTTACAACTTATTTTTATTGTTCAAAGAATGTGCGGGAGATGGTAGATAAAACCCACTACACCGATGGCTCTGAATTAACAACTTACAAGGAGAAAAATCATCTGGTCGGATTTTGTACTGACATTGAGAATTACAATATCCACAATCAAACTCCTCAACATTATGGTAAATACGTGCCACTAGTGCATGTGTTCAACTACGGTAACTACCATGGAGATACCCTGGTAAGATTTTTACTATTACGACATCCGTGCATCTTTTGCATACTTCTAAAACTAGTACATCATTGCTAACTATGAAGTTATTACTATGTTTTTCAACAGATAATCCTAGAGAATTGTGTGCCTCATTTGATGTATCAGAAAGGTAGCCTTAATGTTTTGAACATACAGCCAGGTCATCCTACGAATCTCAACTGTCCATACCAGATTTCTAAAACAAGTGGAGACATGAAAATCAAAGGATGGAAAAAATGTATGGACAGTCGTAAGGAGGTTCTTGGAAGCAAAAGGAAGCGAAGCGCAAGAATTGAAGACAGGATGATCTCCATTCTCCATAATGGAGAGTCAGGGTCTATATTGTTTTATGCTATTTTACCTTAAATAGGGTATTAAGGTCCTGCCTAATACTGATGATCATGTGCTAAGAACAATTAAGTAGGGTTGGTTCGAGACTTGTAATGTTCTATCTTAGTATTACTTCCGACAAACTCGCTAATCGCGGTCTCAAGACTTGTAATGTTCTATCTTTGTTCGGTCTTTTGAATTCGGAGACTAATATGATGAATTGTATTCGGAGACTAATCTTCTATTGTATTCGATGAATCTGCTCTTGCTGTGGGGTGCTGTCTATATTCTGTCCAATAATATATTCTGTAACATGTGCAAAATTCAGAAAAGTAAAAAAAAACCTAATATTCATACTAATGGCGCATCACCCCACAGTGCTTCATTAGTATGCCAAATACTAATGGCGCATGGTGGCCTATACTAATGGCGCACGACATGGTGCGCCATTAGTATACTAGATACTAGTGGCGTACCAGTGGTGCGCCATTAGTAAAAAATACTAGTGGCGTGGTACTAGTGGCGCACCAGTAGTGCGTCATTAGTAGGCAAAACTGGTGCGCCACTAGTAGGCCTTTTCCTAGTAGTGGGATGGTTTTCCGCCGGAGTTTTATAAAAATTGTTGGCATATTATCAAGGGGGATTTGCTACCAATGTTCCATGATCTATTCTCTAGACAGCTTCAGTTATTTCACTTAAATTTTGGAACAATAACATTGCTTCCTAAGAAAATGGAGGCTGTGAGAATTGAGCAGTTCAGGCCGATTTGCCTTCTCGATGTTAGTTTCAAAATTTTCACCAAGGTTGGGACTAACAGGCTCACACAGATTGCGCACTCTATGGTGCAGCAGTCCCAAACTGCTTTCATGCCGGACAGAAACATCCTAGAAGGGGTGGTGGTCCTTCATGAAACTCTCCATGAAATCCACTCGAAAAAATTAGATGGAGTTGTTTTTAAGGTGGATTTCGAGAAAGCGTACAATAAATTCAAATGGCCATTCCTTCAACAGGCCTTGCGTATGAAAGGGTTTGATGAAGCCTGGAGATGTCAGGTAGAATCGTCCACGCAAAAACGGAGTGTTGGAATTAAAGTGAATGACAACATAGGTCATTATTTTCAGACACATAAGGGCCTGAGACAAGGGGATCCAATGTCTCCTATCTTGTTCAACATTGTAGTTGATATGTTGGCAATTATGATAGGAAGGGCTAAGGAGGCTGGTCAAGTGGGTGGCCTAGTACCTCATCTAGTTGATGGAGGTGTGTCTATCCTTCAGTACGCCGATGACATGATCATCTTTATTGAGCATGACTTGGCCAAAGCGAGAAACATGAAGCTGGTGTTATGCTTATTTGAACAATTGTCTGGCTTAAAGATTAACTTTCATAAAAGCGAATTGTTCTGCTTTGGTAGAGCCAATGACGAACAAGAGGCATATAGACAATTGTTTGGGTGCGAATTGGGGACTTTACCTTTCACATACTTAGGTATCCCAATTCACCATCGCAAGCTGGCAAACGGAGAATGGAAGTGCATCGAGGACCGATTTGAAAAGAAACTGAGTTGCTGGAAGGGCAAGCTCATGTCATATGGAGGCCGATTAATTCTGATTAACTCGGTTCTCACGAGTATGCCTATGTTTCTTTTGTCGTTCTTCGAAGTCCCAGTTGGAGTTAGCAAAAGACTGGATTTCTATCGATCACGTTTCTTCTGGCAGAGCGATGAACTCAAAAGAAAATACCGTCTCGCCAAATGGGATATCATCTGTCGACTGAAAGACCAAGGGTGTCTTGGTATTGAGAATCTTGAGGTCAAGAATAGATGTCTTCTCAGCAAGTGGTTGTGGAAGCTATCTGTAGAGACTGATGCCACTTGGGCGCAGATCCTTCATAGCAGGTATCTTCATTCCAAAACTTTGTCCCAGGTGACAGCAAGGCCGTCTGACTCGCCCTTTTGGAAAGGGCTTATGAAAGTCAAAGTAACCTTGTTTAATAGGACAAAGTTTCTTATTGGCAACGGAGCTAGCACGCGATTTTGGGAGGATACTTGGCTCGGAGAGACCCCCCCTTGCCATTCAATACCCGTCGCTATATCGTATTGTTCAACGGCTTGAGGTATTCGTTGCAACGGTACTTCAATCCACTCCACTTAATATGCAATTCAGAAGGGCGCTAATTGGCAACCATTGGGAAGCATGGCTCCATCTAGTAGGTAGACTGATGGAGGTTCAACTATCTCAACAGCCCGATAAATTATGCTGGAAACTTACTAGGTCTGGAGAGTTTACAGTTAAATCATTGTATGTTGATGTTATCAATTCAAGCTCAATTCCTAGTTCCAAACATGTTTGGGCTGTCAAAGTTCCGTTAAAGATCAAAGTGTTTATGTGGTTTGTCCATAAACAAGTAATTTTAACCAAGGACAATTTGACAAAGCGTAATTGGACAGAACCTACTAGGTATAGCTTCTGTGATCGAGATGAAACTATCAAACACCTTTTTCTTGACTGCCCGTTAGCCAAAGTACTCTAGAGGACAGTCCATATTGCTTTTAACATCACTCCACTGAGTTCTGTCAACATGTTATTTGGAACGTGGCTTAACGGGATAGGGCCCGAAACAGCGAGACACATTCGTGTAGGAGTTTGTGCTTTACTATGGGCAGTCTGGAACTGCAGAAATGATTTGGTTTTTAACAGAACAACAAATATTCATTTTTTGCAGGTTATTTTCCGAGCCACTGCGTTGATCCGTATGTGGTCGCTACTCACTCTGACGGAGGCTAGGGAGCGTTTGGTTACTGGATCCATCCGCTGGGAGATGGTAGCATGGGATATATTCAACCGGTTTGGATGGCGGTCATGTAATAGGATAGGCAATTAGTTTACCTATCTGTCTTATGCCAGCCGGTTGTGGCTTTTTATGACGACTGTGGTCTTCGCCTTTTTTTCGCTCTGGGTGAGCATTCTTTTTTTTCGTTTTTGTGACTTTAAGACCTTGTTGAGCCTTCTTATCCGTTTAATAAGTTGGCCGTATGCATCGCTCCGATGCAGAGGCCGGGGAGTCCCCCCTTTTCAAAAAAAACCAGGTAATAATTATTCAAAAGGACAGTTATACTCGATCACATGCTATCCAGAAAATATAAGTTGGTAATGCTGAACTGCAAAATAAATATATCAAATGCACTTAATAAAATGGTATCTCGGATTTTATTGAACGAATGCAAACGTTTGCAGATTCGGTAGGAAGAACTATGGGCTGACTGCCACTGAAACTTCTCCTTGACTGTTTGTATAAACTGTATTGACAACATATCATCAACAATCTTCGTTCAGTTAAAGCCGGACGCTCCTAGCGTCTTCGTTCTAAAAAATAAATAAATTGTATTGACAACATATCATCAACAATCTTCGAACTTCCTCCAAACTTGCCACCGTTGAAGATGAAACTATCGGTTTTTCCGGTAGATAAGGTATGTTGTTACCTGGGTAAGTAAAAGAGAAAAGCATGGTAATTAACATAAGAGAGTGGAGCATTATAGAAGATAAAATGATGTTATCATAAGCACCAATCTCCCATTACCGAATAAAAAGTACTAGGTGTACAGTTTACTTGATGCAATCTTGCCATATGACCTACTTTGTAATTGTGCCATCCTGTTTCCTGCAGATTAGTATAGGGGAAATAAGATCACAGTTTAACAAACAAGAAATAAAGACAGTCGAATGAGCATACTGTTGGTATAAAAGAATAGCCTTGCGGATGTCCTCCAGGTTCTGTAGTACCTCTGGGTCGAATAAGGCACCCTTAGAATTGAACAGGGTCATCACATAAATCAACAAATTAGTAAAACAATTTGCGTAAAGAAACAAATTGGAAAAAGACTTTGCAACACAAAAACAAGAATGATGTGTAAAGTTTCAAATCCGTGACGCACCAGCTGGCTCAAATCTTCTCCCATTTTCTCGATTTTGAGGAAACAGTATATAAAGTAAAGAACATATATACCACAATCACTTCCACTTTGCTGGGGAACCTGCCATTATTTAAGAATCGTAAACAAAAATCATAATATTACGAGGCACCAATTTAGAGGATAATAATGGGTAGGTTTTTCAGCAAAGAATAAAAGTAGACAGTGTTCCAGATGTAAACTTCCCACCTCAGGAAACTCAAGCTGGACTTGATTTGTGAACTGCCCTATGTCTTCCCGCTCTTCTGTTTTTAGAATATCAGTAATGAAGCTGGCACACAAGAAATAGTGGGTTAATAAATAGCAGATTCAGAATAAGGTTGCCATTTATGGGCTATAGATCATGTAAATGTATGAACAACCTATTATGTGAACATAAATTGAGGCCTCGGTTGGCTTTCGACGTCCACTCCATGCAAAGTCTAAGTACAATGGACCATGTGGTATATATAATTTTGGACATACAAACACCTTGGTAGGCTACTATCATGGATAATAATATAAAATAATACATTATTGTTTTGATATCTTGACTCGTGTACAGCATGCATAGGGAAATATGTAAACATAACATGTTATCAATATCATCGTGTTTATAATTATTTTGGATGCTTAGAGATGGAGGAACTAAATGGATCAAACCTGTTGATGACCGACGGCAACCTCTTTGGTTGTGTTGTTGTAAGTGAATCCAACAATAGCATGCGTGGCCCCTTTGGAGTACCCAAGTAGTTTGTGTCACCAAAATTACACAACACAAGGAGGCTCCAATGTCCCCTACATATAGTCAAGGAAGTGAATATCCGGTATCATGCCAATCAAATAAGTGATTGTGCAAGATAACAAAGCGAGGAACATACCAATAAACAATAGGGATAAACACATATCGTCTTGTGAATATTTTCTTAGCTTTTACCCATGTAAGGACTTTTGATTTATGTTTCCCAATGATGTACATATCAAACCACAACGAATCAAGATACGCATAGTCACTCTTCTTTTCTGGATCTATGCCCGTCCAAAGATCCCTACATAAACAGTTATAGTAACAAATTACAAAGTAATATACTAATAAAAATAAATTGGAAATTTATAATCTAAGAAAAAGGTAGGACATACTCCATGTACAATTCAAAATTTTCATCATCAAGCATCCCTTTACTTGTTTTGTCCCTCAAGTTATATGTACTATGATTTGATTTTTTTGAGGGAGGGAGGTGATCTTGAAAGGCGGTATTTGCGTGTCCGCCTTTGCTCTTCTGGGAGTATTTGTTTTGGCGCTCTACACGTGTAAAAATAGAAATGACTTAGAGATGATGACACACACATACATAACATGTTAAAACACATGTACTTAAAATTCATTTCTCTTTAATGCTAGGTGGTCTTTCCGCTTCCCTAGATGTTGCGCCACTTGTAGAATAGGGACCTGACAGATCTATATATATATATATATATATATATATATATATATATATATATATATAGGGTCGCGCTATTCGTCACCCTGGGTAAGTAATAGTTATTCTTCACCCCCCCTCCTATTTTACCATCAATGCACCGTAATTTTACGGTCCGTAAGATTTGTCTTATTTCCGACGCAAAAAGGGACCGTAAAAAAATATATAATCGTCGTAAAAAATATTTTATGTTATGTAAAATTACAAACATAAAAATATAGTCTAAAATACACATAAACTGCAAATCTTCTTGTCTTATGACCTATATTTTTATTTTCTTATGTCAAATTTTACCTAGTGAATCAATAAGAATGTAACTATTTGCATTCCAAACGTAATTTAATTATGAAATGATCGTAAGATTACCTCGGGTGAAGAATAACTTATGATGCACCCTGTGTGATGAATAGTAACACTATATATATATATATAGACACACACACACACAATATACATACTGATTACAGGAAACACATGCATTAAAATAACAATAAATAGGCTCTATGCACTACAAGTTTAATCTATGCAAGCACTAGATCAACAGCGGGGGCAAGTCATCAACATCCAATCACCTGTGTTTATAGATATGAAACACTAACTGAAAATGTATAAACCACCCAAAAAGGTGAGATGGAGACACTAATCTATTCAATAAACTTATACATAAGGAACTCTACGATGACACTTGATTTTGAGTGGGATAATATAACCGTTCTTAAAAAATCTGATCTAGCCCTCTAAAAACCCAAGGGCATGCAATAGGCTATAATAATACAATGAAGTCCATTTCCAAGAAGCAAACGTGTAATACAATCAGGGATCATTTCGGACTTGAGGAGGTATTTTGAAAGCTTGTCCATTTGCAAGAAGTTGATCAAGCCTACCATATATGGAACCAAAACACACTCATAGATGACCCGGAGAGATCCATAGAGAAGATCACGAGGAACGACACTCACTAGTGACCATCGTGATGCATGAGAAGATTGTGCACTCACCTTGGTTATTGTGGCATGGGATGGTGGTGCCTGCGATGGCAAGTTTACCTCCCGTGGTAGCTTTCTCCTGCTCGAGCTTCTCGTTCTTCCTTTTCTCTTTCTCCAGTTCTGCACGGAGACTTTCGACTTCTTCCTGCAATGCCAGATTCTTGGATTCCAGTTCACAGTATTTCTTTTCAAAAGACAGGAGATGGCAGTTAGTAATATAGTGACCAAGATAAACTATGGATTCAAATGGATCGACCAAAATTTCGAAGACAAAGAATGGTCTAGTAATACAGACTCTAACTGATTTTCAACAATCAGCCGGATTCTCATGGGTGCACCCACTGCACTGATAGTGCCCCCACTGGAAAAATCTTACCACGTACAACTCAGATGATCTTATAACCCGAGTGAAGCCATGAATTTAAGATGTTGGTTTTAGATTTATGAAGACGGAAATAAACTAATCCTATAGACTCTAATCTTATTTCTATCAATCAATCGGAGTCTCGTGGGCTACACCTAGTGAGTGCGCTGAACGTGTCCTCACTGGATGAAAACATATTAGGCGCTAGTGGGATGACAAGTCAAAAAATTGAACGTCCGAATGAAAATGATCGACACTTACTGTGGTACTTACTGGGTTATGAGCTTTCAGAACCTCACTTGAATTGGTTGCATCCTTCTGCTTGGAGCTCACCAGCTCGGCTGAAATCATGGCCTCTTTGCCGACGCTAACCTCATCCTCTCGAGTACTGGCCAACGGATACACTACATACGAAACAGTAGGAGGCGTTGCACGTCGGGGCGCCGTAACCGCCAATGCACTCGGACTGGGTTGTACAATATCGGTCTGTGCTCGGACATTTGCATCCAAGTGAATTTCCGGAAATTTTGGTACCATCTCATGATCGGTGTCCATCTCCACTGGATTTCGCCTTACACTAGGTGGATCAACGTGCATTTGAACACGCTCTTCAGCATCCTCCACAGTAATCACTTCTTGAGTGGCTACAAACAATGCAAAGCAAGAGTTCATCAGTCCTTGCTCTACTCGAATGATTGTACAAGAAATAGAATACCTTTCGAAGTGACAACAGCAGCGTCAGATTGTCCTTTGCCTTTGCTCGCGGTCTGCTCGGTAGCTTGGCTGTTATGACTTGTAGAAGTGGCAACCCTGCATCAGCAGAGGACATAAGATGGTAATAACATCCGACTGATCAAAGCAAGATTCAGCTACATATACTTACTTGGAGACAACGGCCACCGCATTCTTTATGTTGCAGCGAGGCTGGCTGGCAACAACAGCTGGTCAGAGGGCGTTGGGAGATCCCCAGCAGACAAGTCCACAGAAGCCAAATCAGGTCCTATTGCAACATGGCCATGGGACACTGCAGCAATATTGTTAGCAGACAGGTTCATATATCAGATAAAGCCATGACAGAACTGCAGCTATCCAACCAAATACCAATTATCAAACCAATACACACTAGTCACCATCGTGATGAGACACCCATAGAGGATCACGAGGGACGACAATCACTAGTCACCATCGTGATGAGATGGCTGTGCGCTCATCGTCATGGGTGTAGCCATTAACTGGCAGGAGAATGGAGAATTCGGAATTGGGTGCAGCAGCCATTAATTGGCACGAGAGTGGAGAGAGCTAGACGTACAGATAGAGATGGATCCATCGAAGATCAAGCAGACAATCATGAC